CTTCCCCGCCTTCATGGAAGACGATTCCCCACCCCACACCCTTCCCCCTGGATCCGCGGCTGGATAGGTAATGTGATGCATGCACACCAGCTGCAATGAGCGCGCGGGGTGCGCTTGCATGAATGCATGCAGTGTGGACTACTACGTACACTATTCAGTTTCCTGAGTAGCAGTGCAAGAGACTCTGTACACTCTGTACTCTTTTATTGTAACCAACAGCCCGGAGGACTTGTCCTTGTTCAACTGAACTGGGGCGGCATCGCACCTCGATGCCCTCTGTTGCCGCACATGGGCCATCGCAACTCCAAGTAAGAACCGTCACCGTGTCAGCATTGCAGGTTGCAGCAGGACGCATTCTTGGTTTCTTTTAGGCCAGGCAGATGACTGAGTAGCGACTGGCTCGTTGCGCTCTGTGCCATCTCAGTTTTCCGCACCTTTAACGAATAGCCGTCGCTTCCGCAGAGCCGTCTGCGAGCCTCGGTGACACTTTGTCTGGGCAACTAACCCAGCATGCCGACGCGGAGCTGTCTAGCTTAGCTACCCATCAGGCTGCGGGGAGAGTGCGCATGAACTCGTGTTACGCCGTTGTGCCCAGCTGTGGCCGGGATGACCACCACGCCCATCCGTGCAATGCCCGCCGTGTCGCTGCTGTGGCGGCCTCATCCATGGTAGTCTTGGCCACGTTCACGAGGCGCTCCCCCCCTGGCGACTCCTGCCGCACGCCAACGAAGCGATGCTGCAGCCGAGTGGGCCTGCTGGAGGGCTTCGGTGGCGTACCGCGGCGCCGGCATGCTTGGTAGGTTGGCGATGTGTACTTGCCTGTGTGTCGGTGCGGATCCAGAGATGGGAAGGGGGGGGGGGGCAAGAGTTGCCTTCTTAACGGGACAAAGTGCGGCTATTTTTTTCTACCTTCAGTGAGAGGCGACGCCCCCTTAAGCGCAAGATTATTCTGGCCATTTTCGCCACAAATGTTGCTTACTTACAGGCGTCGTTGCCACCTGAATGTGGAATGTGTTCAAATCTTGTGTACAATGGATGTGGGAAGCTGTTCCCTTCCTCGATTGCATTGCACCATAGTGCCCCTCCGTCCACGTCGGTCTCAGTTTTCCACGCAGTGCGTCGCGTGTTGGTATGGTATTCGGGGGCATATGGTTGCAGTGTGCCCGCTCCTTTGAAGGAAGCAGGCATTTGGTGCCGTTCTCAGCATGCCTTTTGTACAGCCCCTGTCGATGCGCTGAGTAGGCAACCCACCCGACTCGGCAGCACCCGAATGCCTCTCCGGCAGGCGGAGTACGCCGCTCCTTTCCCTCACAGCGGTTGCGACTCGCTTACTGTTTTGCCGCCGCCCGGGTCGCAACAAACTCCACTTTGACACATTGTAACTTTGTTTTTTTTTGTTTTCTGCTTGCATGTGCTTGGAGCTATGTACTGGATGACCACCACGTCACCGCTTGCTTACCAGTCACTCTTTCTGCCCTGCTTGTGCCCTGCTTCGGATCCCGCCTCCACCCGTCTCGACGTCGACTCAGTCTTCTAAGATATATTTCAATAAACATACTTGCTTTTAAATTTGACCAAAAAATAATTCCTTTTCCCGCTTTATACCCACACCCACAGTATTAAGGCCCAACGTATCACACGCACACACAGAGCTGTTGAGGTGTCAATGTTTTTCCCGCACTGAAACCTTTTCCTTCTGCTGTGTCTAAAGTGACCTTCTGTGGGTCTTAGATGATAGCCACCCTGCATCGTAAAATGTATCAGCCATTAACGGCAACACTGTGTCGAGTCAGGCTTTAAAATCCATTGTTCTCTTAGTTTGTTCAAGATGGGAAGTTTTCAAATAAACCGTGTTTTTATAAACTAACTAAAGAATAACGAACTTCTAATGAAAGAATGTACACTAAAGATGAGATACTCGGAAGAGATGGTCAAGATGGGTACTCCAGGGCCGGGGCACGCCCCGCGCCAAGCCGGAGGGAAGGCCCAGCGGCCGGGCGATGCATGCCTGCAGCTTGGCGTTGCAGGCGCCGCGGCGGACTCCGTGAACTGCGACGTGTCGTCGGAGGTCCGCCACCTTGGGTGTGAGAGAGAGAGAGAGATGTGAGTGTGTGGTGTGTGTGTGTGTGTGTGAGAGAGAGAGAGAGAGAGAGAGAGAGAGAGAGAGAGAGATGAGTGAGAGACCACGAGTGCTGGAGGTAAGGCCAACGGGCACCGCTATGGAACCCCGCGTCGTCGTCAGCGGCTTGAGTCCTGGTGTCTGTGACGGGCACACGGCTCGTGCGACTACTAGAAGCCACCCCCCGGTGGCCCTTGTCACTGGCCAGGTCCTAAGGACACAGCCGGCAGCGGGCCGTGCTGAACGAGGGTGCGCGACTTCTTGAACTCCACCTGTGTGTGCAGGACGGCACAGGAGGCGGCGCCGACAAGGCACCCCTTCAATCCGGTAACATTTGAAATCACAGCCACACCGTGACGTCAATATCAGAGAAGTCAGAACGCCACCCCAGCTGCCCCACAGGGCGAGAGCGCCGAAACGCATTCGTTGGGGCGCCGCGTGGGTAGGCAACCCAACGCACGCCTCAGCTTGGCGGGGCGGCCTGCTTGCCACGTCATTACCATTACCATTAAGGGCTACGGCTCAGAGGCTGTGCACTGAGGGACAGGCGCGCAGCGGCGTGGATGATGTCACACCAGAATCGCTCTGGAAGGCTCCCGACAGTATGAACAGTAACCCAATGTGTAGAAAAATGCAAAGATGAAGTGGGATTTGAACCCACAACCCACTTGTCCAGCCGGGATGCAGCAGGACCATGCATGCCGCGCTGGGGGACGTCCGGGACGCCATCAGCCTCACGGAGCACACCAAGAAGGGCGTGTGCGTCGTCGCGCTCGACATCGCCGGGGCCTTCGACAACCTGCGGCACTCCTTCCTGTGGGCTGTCCTCCGCAGGCACGGCGTGGGCGAGCACGTCGTCGCGCTGCTCCGCAGCATGTACGAGGGCGCCACCACCAGGACCTCCATCAACGGCGTGATCACCGAGGCCATGGACCTGCTCCAGGGCATCAAGCAAGGCTGTCCGGTGTCCATGCTGCTGTACTGCATCGCCAGCTCGCCGCTGCTCAAGGCCCTGGACACCAGGCTCGACGGGGTCCGCGTCGAGGGCACGGACGGCAGGCTTGCGGGGTCCGCGCACGTCGACGACACTGTGGTGGTGCTGCAGGACGTCGCGGAGGTGGCCGTGCTCGTGGACACTCTGGAGGAGTTCGGCGCCGAGTCGGGGCTGCGCGGCAACGATGCTAAGTCCATGGCTCTTCCCGTCGGACGCTGGCCGCGCCGCGCGCCACTGTCGTACCCCGTCGCCAAGGAAATCAAGCTGCTTGGAGTCCACTTCACTGCGAAGACGAGCGGACTCGCCACTGCCAACTGGCCGGGCCGCGTTGGTGTGCTCCGCGCCCTCTTCGCTGCGCGCGTTCAACTTGGTGCAGCGGGTACAGTACTGCAACACCTACGCGCTGCCCCTGCTCTGGCACCTCGCCGCCGTCGCGCCGCCGTCCCGCCGCTGCCCGCCAAGTACTGCGGCATGGTCCGGAAGGCTCTGGGGAAATTCCTCTGGGCCACCAAGCCCGTCCGCGTGCCGTTCGACGTCATGGTGCAGCCCAGGGAGCGCGGCGGCCTCGGACTCCAGGACCCTGCGCGCAAGGCCCGCGTCATGCTGGCGGCGCGCTGGGAGAGCTCGGCGCGCGCGGACTTCAAGACCGTCTCGGGGTGCTGGCTGCGCTTCCTGCAGCAGCGCCACGCGGACGCGCCGTCGGTGCCGGCATGCGTCAAGCACTTTACCGAGTCCTGCAAGAGCCCCGCCTTCGCCGCCGTCCCCGGCCTGGTCGGCAAGGACCTCACCAAGGCCCTCTACACCGCCGCCCTCGCCGCCGACGTGCCCAACCAGAGCGCCACCCCGGACTGCCCCAAGTGCGCCGAGCCCGAGGACGTGGTGCACGGGCGTGACCGTCACCGGGGAGACCATCGTCCGGCCGCAGCTCGAGGGGCCGCGCCGGGCCGACGCCATCCTGCTCGTGGGCCTGGTCGTCCAGTTCCTGACGACGAGGCGCGCCGTCAGCCCGCAAGCCCTCTCCGACGACGGGCCGCCGCCGCCAGTGTGGCTGCGCGGCGAGAAAAAAAAAAGTCACACAGTACTGAAGTTGATCAACTTCCGATAGAAGTAACGGAAGCAGTCAATGGATGTCCTTGAATCTTAAACTTCATATTTTTCCAAGTCATTTTCAGTGAGCTCCCGGCTTTCTTTTTATTGAGTTCCCTTCCATGTAGCAAGCCAGAATATGTTGCAAAATGAAATTAAAAAAAAAAAATCTTCAAAAATGAACTGGACGTTAATGAAACACATTTTGATTAGCATTAGGTATATTGTTTCTTATTTGCTGTGGTCAAGTGTTGTATCTGGAGTGAATCACTGGTATTAATTAAATGGCATGATCTGCCTCCAAAGATGTCAGTCTGAGGCAATTTTTGAACATAGTACCCACTGAGCTGCTTCACTTTTGCTGTTGAGTTTATTCCCTCCTCCTTTGGGGTGTACTATAATTCATGTACATGTTTTAAAACAAAGTGATTGTTTAAACAGTATACCACATTATGTAGAATGAGTAGCCAGTCCAAGTTTGTAATCGGAAATAGTGACAAAATGCTTCCTTTGAGCATCATTTAATTGTGAAGTGTATCTTTGCCACCAATTTCTTTTGATTGGGTTTTTTGATGCACCAAGAGTCGATTACATCAGTCTGAAAGTCAATTTACCTGAGAGCTACTCAGTCACTATTACTGCTGAGTGCAATTTTATAAGATGAATTATTAGTTTATCCGTCACATTAGAACAAATAGGCAGACCAAACTGCAAGCCGTTGACTAGATGCAGTTTCCACATAAGTGCCAAAAAGTAAGTCTTGGTGAGCATAGGGGTTTGAAAATGAAGGAAATGCAATACTTTTGGTGTCTTTGAATTTTATTCCACTTGCGTTCCTTAGACAAAATGACAACACTGGAAATATGATAACAATTGATAAAATATCAAAGCAAACTATTGACATTAACAAAGATAAATGACTTTCATTCTGTGTTCAAAGATTGAACAAAAGAAAAAGTGCAGTACAAAATAATATGTATGGAATCATTAGAAATTAAGTTATTTGACCGGTCTTAAAATATTTAACAGTTCATTTGCACAACACAATAGGCTAGAAATTTAACATGAGAGGATTCCAAAAAGCAAAGTTTTCTTCAAAAATGGAGGTGTAATCCGCACAACTTCAGGAACACACAATTCCCTGTGAAAAGAAGAGTGTGTTATAATTAACTCAGTTTGAAGTAGCATGAACAGCATGCTACAAGCAATGCAGACTCACTTCATTTCTGGAGTGCACAGCAGAGTCAGCAGTACAGGTGGTTGATTGCTCTTCATTCCTAGGTCTCTGCACAGATTGGCCTACATTTGAAAGCTGCAGCCACGGGGAAAGACCTGAGAACAATGTCACAACATTAGAGAAATGAGGTGGAACAGAAAGGCTTGTCTCTCCAGAACCACAAGACCAAGACAACGGGCAGTGCATAATAAAATGGGAACACAAAGGCTCTGAGGACCATGTAATGATGTGTTGGAAATATGAGGGTAACAGTAAAGAACCATAAAGAAGGCATTGATGTCAATACCACTGTATGGAGAGAGATCCATGTGGCGTTAAGGTAAAAAAAAGGTAAAAAAATTGGGTTTTTGATTTTCTAAAATAATAGTGGTGGTAGCTGTTTTGTTTCTTGGTCTAAAGTTGCTCACTATAACATGAACTTAAATCCAAAAGAAGGGCCCCCAACTCCTATTAGTTTCTTAGTTATTGAGGTTTACGTTACAAATTTAGTCGCTTCTCTCAAAGTCTCTTCGCGAATACCAAAAAAGTTCTCAGCCTTCAGCTTCTGACCAATTGGTCCTTAATAAGACATGAAAAAGATAGCATAGGCTTTTTGCAAGATGTCTGTTAGTTTTTCAACTAGAGAAAAAAAGTTGTTGAAAACATTGCTAAAAATCATGATTTTGATCAAAATTAAATCTATTGCATATTAAATCTCTTCTTGTCAAAAAACTGATTGACATATTGCGAAAAGCTTATGCAACCTTATTTATATGTCCTTTCAGATTGTTTTGCCAGGAGGTGAAGGCTGGAAACTTTCTAGGTATTCGTGAGGAGACTTTGGGAGAATCAACTAAATTTGTTACGTAAACCTCAATAACTCAGAAACTATTCGGAGTTGGGGGTCCTAACTTTGGTTGTAAGTTCATCTTACAGTGAGGAACATAAGACAAAAAACAAAAAAACAAATTGCTGCCACAAATATTCTAGAAAGCAAGATTTTCACTTTCCAGTAACCTTAATTTTATGGTCCCCATCAAGAAGTTCCTCCCACACTCCAAGTATTAAAGTACTAAAGATTAGGGGACTGGGGGAAAACCGTACAAAGCCAATTTGAAATTCTTAAACCAAATGGCTTAGTCACCATAAACCAAAGATGGAAAGATTACGGCATGAACAAACCTGACATGCATTCTAATTATGCACAAAGTGTGAGCAAGTGATTTCTCACCATGGGCACAGGTGTTGGTGTCTGTCCGAGATGAAATGGCGTGGAATTCACCACACTCTGATTGAGATTCATTTCAAAAACTCTCCTCTACGCTTGAAGGAATAACTTCATCAAAATGGCATGATTGGAACTGAAAAATAATAAAATAGCAAATTACAAATGCTCATAAATGATCAAAAGAACAAAAAGACATACAAAACAATAGCAACATGACAATGATTACCTGTGGTTATGTAAGTTGAGGGCCAAGTCTCAGACAACAAAATTTGTAATTGCAACGCACATCTAAGGACTGACATTTAAGTCGGGTGACTGATTTGCAGCATGCCTGATTACCCACATATCCTGGAGTGGGAGACAAGCAAAACAAATACTGCCTATTCTTCTTGAGATAAGATATCCTGCAGGGAGAGAAAAGGGAACATTAGAATGAGAGTGAAGTGATGACAGTACCAACAACAAGTTAATATAAGATAACATACCTTGGAAGAAAGCGAGAAGAAAGCCAGTCGGTATTTACAGTGATTGAGCTGTCACAAAGCAGGGCTGAACAGGGCGACACATTCTTTAACTTAATTAAATCTGAAGTACACCAAATGAAACAGATTCTCAAACACATAAACACACCAGCACCATCCCGCTCCTCTTGACTTGATAAAAAGAACAAAGAACCACCTGGGCCACCCTCTCTTTTTTCTGATCAGCTTGTATTTGACCGCCAAAGCCAGGTGCCTTCATGACATAATGCAAAGAGACACCACAACAAACAACTCTTCTCTCTTGATGGCTTGAAATTCCAAAGAAACAGCAGACTTGTGAAGGAGTTTAGTAGAGATGCAACCACATGCCATTGCCCATCCTAATCAGCGAAGCCCATGATCCTTCTGGTTTACCTCCTAAATTCCTCCTGCAATATGGCCCATGAAATAATTTAAACTGCAGAATGAGACAAGAGACACACCAAATCCAAAACCATTATCCCCAACTTCCTGTTGATTTCAAATTTCTAAAGTAGACACTGGAGCGATGACTGAAATTGTTGAAGTGGTACTTGTAGAGGCCCATCTGTAGTCTCAACAACACATCCCTTGATATTTCACTGGCAGAACCCTATCACAAGTGCCCTCATGCTCAAAACAAAAATTAAATATTACTTATAGAAAAAAGAAACTAAACGAGGTGTGGCAATACTTTTCGGTACCAACATTCCCACCATCACCCAAAACTTGTTGCTGGCTCTGACTTCCCAATTCCCAGCTGACAGCTGCTGAGCGATGAATTAAGTTGTTTATTGGTGCGGTTTCTGAAGTCTGTAACTTGTCCAAGCTCATCTGTCGTGTCAATGCCAACTTTCTTGAGGACTAACCACCTGCAGATTTCCCTCCGAAAGAATCCCATGCCAAAAGACACATGATTAACCACAAAAAGTCAGTATCAACCCTTATGGAAGGATTACGATGACTGAAAAATTCCTTCTCCTCCAAGTGGCTTTGAATTGAAAGCAAAACAAACACACCCTCTTTTAAGAAGGGATATCTTTCTGCAGGAAGAGAAAGAAACAGTACATTGATAATTAAGAGTCAACAACAGTGTTAATGAGAAAGGAAAATGCAAAGATATTATAAAACATACCCTGGAATTAACACTGTAGTATTATCCGTGCCAAAAATGTAATCATTAACACAGCAGATTAGGACTTAAACACAAACCGCCGCCACCACCACCACCCAAAATTTCTTGTTGCCTTCAAGTTTAAAAAAATAATACAAACACACAACAACAGAACAGTTATGGCTGGACTTGTTGAGTGATACTTGTCCAGGTCCATCTTCAGTCTCACCGTCACATTTCTTGATGTTCCACTTGCAGAATGTTATTGAAAGTGCCCTCATGCAGAGACAATTACAAGACATGGCAGCACAATTCTACATCAGTGTGTTTCTTCCCCCAACTCTTCTTGATGAGTTTCTTCTCAAAGCACAGCCACCACAACCAACTCTCAAAAAAAATACATGCACAATAAATTCACATTGAACTTCCTTACACACCGCTAGCAAACCACACACCAGTCTCCCGTTCCACCAAATGCTTGAGGTGACATTCACAGACGACTGCTGAACGATGGAAATGAGGAGGGGCTCCAGATTCTTGACAAGACTTTCTTGATGTCCATCCCCTCACCAAGTTCAGTTCCCATATTTCTTCTGGTTTACCTACCCCTGCAATATGGCCCATGCAAAAAACAACATCATTTAAGAAGCATTATCTTACTGAACAAAAACCACCACCACCACCACCACACCAAAGTTCTTGTTGTCTTCAAGTTTCCTAAAAATAAAATAAATAAATTAAAAAACCCACACCAGTGGAGTGCTGACTGAAATTATTGAACGATACTTGTCCAGGCCCATCTATGATCTCAGCGTCACATTTCTTGATGTTTGATTTGTAGAATTCCCATCCAAAGTACCCTCATGCAAAAACAATAATTAAAATTCACTTTAAAAGAAGGACGATTCAAGATGTGGCTACATTTCTACATCAATGCTGTTTCTTCCCACCACTCTTCTTGTTGAGTTCATTCTGAAAGACCCTGCCACTACAACTAGCTCCTAAAAAAATACATGCACAATAAATTCACATTGAACTTCCTTACACACCGCTACCAAACCACACACCAGTCTCCCGTTCCACCAAATGCTTGAGGTGACATTCACAGACGACCGCTGAACGATGGAAATGAGGAGGGGCTCCAGCTTCTTGACAAGACTTTCTTGACGTCCATCCCCTCACCAAGTCCAGTTTAAACATCAATGAAACACACATACCTCACTGTACAGTACACTCTACTACCTGCACTTCTTTCTACCTTGATGAAACAATGAACACCGAAACGGACTGCTGCCAAGATTCCCACAGCGTAACAACAGCACATTTGAGGCATCACCACTTGCTGCCATGGCATGGAAAATGTGGATAAAACACCTGAAATCAAACAGGATCGCAATTGTAGATGGGAGCGAAGAAACAAAAGGCCAAACACCATTCTCAGTGTTACTCACCACTGTGTCTGCTCTGCGACCCATCTCCAACTCCAATAATTACGTTGGGGTAATGAATCAGGACAAAAAGAAACCTGTACACTCAGTCCGTAGCACAAACGTCACGTAGGAACGACAATCGTTGCCGCAGTATCTGAAATAAAACGTTCTCTGATGAGCGGCGCCGAGGCAAGGAGAGGTTAGGTTCAGATTTCAACCACACAAGGGAACCATATCGCAGCAATAAGATGAAAGAACTTACCCAAAATAATCCAAGCCATTTTCTTTCCCGAAACGTGGAACTTCGGAAGGAGAAATACCTCTGGAGACTGACGATAAACAACCGTTACAAGACAGTGGCCTATTCCGCGACGGTTACGAGCCCTAGCCAGGCATCAGCACAGCGTCTGCAGAACGATTCAATTCGCGCCTGAAAATCGTCATTGTTATTATCATGAACACGCAAATCACAACATTACCACCGGAATTTGAATAAATTTCAGTACTTCAGTACGATGCTTTAGGCACAACGTCCCTCAACTTGCGACGACAACAACAACATTCAAACAAAAATAACGGCACCGCCAGTACCAACCTGACAAACGTTGTACCACTTCGTCGGGCTTCTGCCATTTGAGGTTTGTGAAAATAAAACGGACGAATACAACAAAACTGTTTTTCATTGGCCATCGGTTTTCGTAAAATAATAATCATGCGAGAACCGTGTCATGGGTCCGAGGTAGTATAGTCCTACGTACCGTCTCTTTCGATTCACGGTGTTGTCGGACTAGCACTGGAACGTTTCCCCGATGTTGCCAGATCGTTGGAAATTCCCTATTTCGTGGGAATTTTTAAGGCCCGTGGGGAAAAAATATTTGCAAATGGGAAATTTCAAGCTCAAAGTTATTTCTTTTTGCTACTGTTTTTCGAAATATAAGGGGCCTAAGACGGTTGAAATGGGAAAAATCAGAGACGAAAAGGGCTTGAGGGGAAAACGAAAAATTACGTCTGGCAGCTGTGAGCCGAGTCTCCGGTCCAAATTACAGATGATATGACTGACATTTCTCGCGGTCGATGTGGAGCCGCTGGGCAATGTCTTTCAGCCGATCCGCAGGGTCGTTGGAGCCAGCCGGGTTGAGGTGGGTTGAGGCCCCTGCGGCACTTGGATTCGTATACACACACGGAGCCTCCGACGGCGACGGACGGACGCTTTGGCGCGCACGTCGTACTGCTCCTTGGAGACGAGCGCGGCCTGCCAGGCGCGCTCGCGGACCTCGTGCTGGGAGATGATGCAGCCGGTCCTGCTGCATCCATGTTGGGTCCTGTCGGGCTGCCGGGTGCAGGCACTGGTCGGCCGGGGTCGTCGTGCATCGTGCGTAGCACGGCGGGCACATGGACCCGCGGCAGGAGCAGCTTGTGCGTGACGCGGTCTCGGTCGTCCACAATGCGGCGGTACAGCGTTGTCACGGATCTCGAGGGACTGCCACAGCAACCACAGGGCCTTCGCGGGTACACCGGCGTCATTGACCGACTCTTTGCTGGGTCGAACGCCGTCCCCGTCCCCCCTCATCGTGGAAGATGGGGTCGATTCGTGGGTCCGCGGCAAGTGCCGGCACTCCGGGTAGCAGGGGCGGCGGGCCAGGGCGTCCGCCTTGCCATGGTCCTCGCCGCGACGGAGCTCGATGGTGCAGTCGTAGGCCGCCAGGGACTCCAGCCAGTGCGGGCCAGCTGGCCGTTAGCCGTGTCGCTGCAGCGCCGCGTGGTGGCACCGCACCAGGAACGCCCGGCCGACCAGGTTAGTGGTGGAAGCGGCGGATGGCGAGGACCACGGCGAGAAGCTCGCGCCGGGTCACGCAGTACTAGTTGCGTTGCGGCCGGGTCAGGGTGCAGCTGTGGCACGCGACCACGTCATGACTTGACCCGTCTTGACCTGCCGACGCAGCCGACGGCGAAGTTCGACGCGTCGCAGTCCAGCACGAAGGGGCCGCCGCTGGGGTCCGGGAGGGCCGGGATCGGCGCTTCGGTGAGGGCGGCGCGCAGCGCAGCCTGTCGAACGCTGCCTGTGCCTTGGCCGGCCTTGGCCGCCCAGGTGAACACGTGGACAGTGGTGCTGCAGTGGGGCGGCAGCACCGCGTGGTGGTCGCAGTGCAGCTCGACCACGGCCGAGATGCCGGATACCGGCTTGGTGCCTCAGCGGCACGGCACGACGCCACCGTTGTTGCGCAGCAAGCAGTCGGTCGTCCCTGTTCGACACGGGAGTGGCCGCGAAGTCGGCCCCGAGAAGGCACCACTCGTAGATGGCGCCCTTGAAGCAGATGACGGTCAGCCCGGCGCCGTAGCGGGGGCCGCGGAGCTCGGCGGAAGCGCCCGTCTCGAACGCGCCCGTCTCGAACGCGCCCTGCACCTGCATACTGGGGGTAGACGCTGGGGGCAAGATGCCTAGCCTTGCCAATGTGAACGCAAAGCCGGTGTCCAGCAAGAAGCGGCACTTCCGGGCGTCGGGAGGGGCGGCGCGCCGGGGCGTGGCGCCGCGGTACTCGGCCGCGGCGCTGGGCCGTGGTGCTTCCGCGGCGGTCATCTCGGCGGTCTCCTCGGCGGTCTTCCCGGCGATCGTCACAGCGGCCTTGTGGAGGGCCCGCGTTGGCCGCGCCAGGCTGCCGCACCTCCCTCCCGCAGCGTGTCGCGGAGCTCGGCCACCAGCGACGGGTCCTCGTTGGCGAGCGGACGGACGATAGCAACGCGCACGTCGGCGTCCTGGTGGGCAGCTGCTGCAGAGGTGGAAGGCTCTTCCAGGCAGAACCTCGGGCTCTTGGCGGAAGGCTGCTCCGCTTGGTCGAGGGCCTCCAGCCGCAGGGCCGCAGCGACGGTCTCGGCGAAGGTGTCCTGGTCTCGGCGGTGGCCCGGCGCACCTCGGGTGCGGCTAGGCCGGCGATGAAGACCCGGTGCGCCGTCGCCTGCAGCGGGTCCTCGGCCCGGGTGTGGTACGCATTGCGCGCCATTCTCAGTACGGCGTCAGCGTACTCACGGATGCCCTCCGTGGGCTTCTGCCGGCGGTGCTCCGAGGACGCTTCGGCGACGCGGGCACGGGCGGCCGGCGCGCACGTCTCCTGCAGGCGGGCGTGCAGCACTGCGTAGTCGGTGTACTAGGCCGGCGGCACGGTCAGCAGCAGCGCCGCCGCGGGGCCGTGGGGGGCGCGGAGAAGCCGGCACCTCTTCACGACGACGGTCTAGCCAGCCAAACTCCCGCGCAGCATCCTGGAACGCCTGGAACTGCGCATCGAAGATGGCCCACGGCACGGCATGGTGCCGACAAACTCCAGGTCGGGGGCGGGCCGCGGCGCCGGCGGGACTGCAAGACGAGCTGGCGCAGGACGGCCGTCGCCGCGGTCCGCCCCCGACCTGGAGTTTGACGGCACCATCTGCTAGTTCTCGGCCTTCTTGTGGATCAGTAGGCTCTCGGCACAAGTAGTAGAGCGGTGGCCTCTCCTAGAGACCCTCCCGTCAGAGATGCGCAGCCCTCCTGTCAGAGATACGCAGCCCGCTAGCCTCACTCAGGGTGCCTTTGCCTCCATGGGACTACCAACTAACTACCAAGCGGCGCTGGCTTGCGCATCTCTGAAGGGAGGGTCTCTAGGTGTTTGTGGTTTGTTTGGTGGGTGTCCAGGACCTGTATGCCTTTCTTCTTTTCATCAATGAAGCAGAAATTCACGGCTCCGAGGCCATCAACTTTTAGAAGTCGCTCTCTCTGAAGCAGTAATTCGCGAAAGAATGAGGGTAATGTATCAATATTTGTTCAACTGCAGCCACTTTCGCTTACTCTTAATTTTTACCTTTGTCTGTTTTGCAGGTTAAAAGTTTTGCAGGTTTTAAAGCCGGATCTCGTGTGTTCTACACCAGTGATGGTTTTTACTATTATAAAAATCGTACGATGAATGGGGGAAGGGTGTCATTAGAATGCACTATTAACCGCAAGAGTACTGGTGCTCGTTGTCCTGGAAGGGCGTCTTGCAACAACAGGGGTACAGAGCTGAAAGTGACTACCCCACATAATCATGCAGGAAGCAAGTCATTTAAGGAAAAGCGACAACTACGAAGTGCCATCCTAGATAGATGTCGCACCAGGGACCCTAGTGCTTACCACGAAATTGTTGCCCAGGAGAGTCAAGGGTAACTGCAGTTCTGTTCCGGAATTTAGCCCATGTTGTGTACATCCATTGAAGTTAATGTGACTTTCATTTTTGTTTTTCCTTTTTGTCCTCTTAGATATCCTAGAAGAATAAGAGTAGGTAATGACCATAATACTTTAAGGTCTGCAATGAGAAGAGCCCGTCTTAGTCGATATCCAAAGATACCATCAACGATCAGTGAACTAGGAGAGTTACTTAGGAAAAGGAAAAATAGACAAATCACTAGAACACAAGATGGAAGGCAAAACATTTATTTTGGTTCAGTGGGATCCTCAAGGAGGAAGACACGTTGTGTCATATTTATGAGTAAAAGACAACAAGCTCGTTTAAGGAGAGCAAAGAAATTATTTGCTGATGGTACATGGGATGCAAGACCATCAAAGCCCAATTCTAGACAACTCTTCACCATCTCAACTTGTACAAAAGACAAAAGAGTAGGTTGTTTAAAATAAAATAAAATTTTCAAACATGATTTTGGTATAAAAGTTGTAACTGTTTTATTATGTTACAGGGTCTTCCATTGGCATTTGTATTAATGCAGTCCAGGACTCAGCCCGCGTATGAAGAGCTGCTTTCAACCTTGAGAGATTGTGGATGTGACCCACGAGTGGTTCATACAGATTTTGAAGTTGCTCAGTACAATGCTTGGAAGACTGTCTTTGGTCGGCAGTTGAGAGTCGAAGGCTGCCTCTACCATTACGTTGTTGTAGGTCAAAATAACTTCTTTTTCCTTCTATGTATTTTGAGTTTTAAACTGTAGCTCTGAACAAGTGTAAACTGTGAAGTGTTACGTTACTCAGTTTCTAGTGGTTTCTGGTTCCACGAGCTAAATGTGAAAATCTGTTTTCCAGAGGCTAAGAGAGAAGGCCAAAAAGCTGCGTCTTGCTCAATTGTTGAAAAGAAATCGTCGTGCAGACTCCATTGTTAAGAGCTGCAATGCTCTGCCGCTTCTTCCTTCACACCGAATAAGGAAGGGTCTGGCAACGATTGAAAGGAGAGCAAGAAGAAACGGCCTGCATGGGCAGTTGGCTCCTTTTTTTCAGTACATGAGAACAACGTGGATTCCACGCAGGAACATTATGTCGGTCTGCTACAGCGAAGACAGGACTAACAACATTTCAGAGTCATTGAACCATGCCCTGTCCTTAGCTGTTAAGCAGAGAAGACCTAATATTTGGCTTTTCATTGGTATGTCTCCTCACCCGCCTCTTTCAATTTTAAAGCCCACATTTTTATTAGTGGAACTGCGCTTGGATATCATAATGTTTTTGTGACCTTTCAGATGCTCTTGTGAGGTTGGAAGAGAGGCTGGCACAAGACCTCTATAATCTCAGAAGGGGGAAACGTGTCAATCGATTGAGGAAGACTTCTGCTGTCATGAATGATGACGTCATCAGGCAGATGACTGGTAGCTTAAACACTGGAGACATCAGCTTGACAACTTTTCTGAAGCAAGCTGCATATCGTGTGGAGAATGTATGGAATCCAGTGTATGGAAATTAGATGTGTCCTTTTAGTGTATCCTGACTCAAGTATTATTTATGGAGTTCCTTGTGGTTGTTGATATGTGTATTGTCCGTTTTCTGTCAACTGGTCAAATGTTTGCAAACAGTTCACAAATGTGTTTCTAAAATTACTATCCACGTTTTTTTTTGGTCACCCTTGTTTGGTGTCATACTAATAAGGTGCATAATTGTGTCATAAGTGAGCTGCAATAAGAATTTAAGAATTTAGTTAATATGTTAGATACCAACATTTTTTCCTTTCATTCACATTGCTTCAAAGTCTATTCCCACACAGTGCAAAAAGAAAGGCTCTGTGACACATTGATATAGCGGCATCTTAGTGCTGATTGCTTTATGCTAAGCATGTTCTAAATAACTTGTACCTCTCTGTGTGGGACTCGTTCTTGATCAATAAACGAACAGTAAACAAACAAAGTATTCTTTAATCAAATTTGACCAATCCTGAGACATTTCTACTTATAGTTATTAATCACTAGTGAGGAAAAATATCCTTCATTGTGGCCCAATAAGCTGCACCACAGGTGCACAAGGAAAAGTTATCCTGCTCATTGCATGCAATTGATAATTCTCAAAATGCACCACCTGAAGAGTGAGTAAAGCAGATAATAACAACAGTCTTTGAAAATTGCCTTTAATTACAACAAGACAAACACCTAGTTCAGAGTAAATGTCTTTGACATACAATGAAACATTCCTTAAAAATTGGGTATCAAATAAAAAAAAACAAACCTTGACACTTATAAACCAATTTTTCATGACTATCCATGCTATTCAACACTAAAAAAAGGTCAAGAATTAAAACAATAAAGTACAACACCCAACATTACAGTGGGTTCGCATGTAATGCACTGTTCCTATTCAGAAACCCAAACATATTGAGGAGGCTCATACATGTTAAAAGCACTGTGTAAAAAAAGATATTTGGTGTAGAAGGATCAAGATTTTATCATTTCTGTATTAACACCCTTGTAGATAATTGAGTAAGCTTCATTTTGACATAAAGGAAAGTGACTTCGGACATGTTTTGGAAATTTGGTAGAAACATTTAAAATTTTGCTTCTTGTAAGATTTTGTTTGCATACTTGCTCAGATCTGTGGGGGAAAAATTAGGGAGACTTCTCACAGGTAGTGTCATACATTTGACTACAATGGGCTTTACATCTGAAAAAGTTTTCAGTTTTCCTTTGTTTTTTGAAAACTATTGCTGATTAAAAGCCCATTGTAGTCAAATCTATGACACTACTAGTGAGGAGTCTCCCTGATTTTCCCCCCACAGATCAAGCAAGTACAGTAAAAGCCGCCTAAAGCATTGAAAGAAATTGAGGTCCCATCTACCTATGATTATTGCACTGAAGATTCTCCTTTGCTAGAATCATAATGTGATGCCAGTATATGCCTGTTTACATCACATTATGAGCTAGACAGAGAGTCTTCAGCGCAATAAGAAGGCACAGGACCACAATTGCTATCAACGCTTTAAACGACTTCTACTGTATGCAAACAAAATCTTATGAGAACCAAAAGTTTAAATGTTTTTACCAAATTTCCTAAACATGTCCAAAGTCACTTTCCTTTACGTCAAAATGAAGCTTACTCAATTATCTAAAAGGGTTTTAATACAGAAATAATAAAACCTTTATCCTTCTACACCAAAAATATTTTTTTACAAAGTGCTTTTAACATGTATGAGCCCCTTTACAGAGGCCTCTTTACACCATGTGTAAATGTGAAAGAATCAAAACACTAAACACTAAACAACCTTGTACTTATCTTAATCACAGAATTAGGTTTTTAAGCAAACATGAAAGTTTAATGCTGAAGAAAAATAAAAATTGTGGAGGGAAACACATTTAGGTAAATATTTTTAAGATTGTAACCACATGTTTCTCTCCACATCCAACACACTTCTTCAGTCTGTCCTTGTATTCAAGTTCGCAATCACTGCAAATGCCAAATATTTTGCACGGCATCAGCAAGTAGACGGGTGGTTCTAATTTACACGCCCTGCACATTGGTTGCGTTGTAACCATTTTTGCCAAATCCGAAGCAGCAGGAATGGGGGCGAATGGGAGGGAAGGCGGGTGATCACTGGCGTTGAGGAACCCAAAGTCATCTGGTGGTACTGCAAAAAGTGCATCTTCCTCTTCCACAGTCTCAGGGAAGACAAAGTCGTCTTGCGGTGCGTCCTCCTGATGGATTGGGGGCGACATGTCATTCAATGCATTCTCTGCAGTTTCCTCGAATTCCTCATCTTCCCACCAGTATGATGCCCAAGGCTAAAACCAACAATGAAAAAAAAAAAAAGTTATTACCTTTAAAACGAAGAAAGTGTTGCATTAATTGCAGAAAGTAATACAGTAAAGTCTATTTGAGCAATCCTTGACGTTAGGACAGAATTGACATATTAGGAACAAAACAAAACCCATGATAAGAAGCAGTGATGCCTATAAACATATCAAAAGACAACATTGAAGCCTCTTACCACTGATCTAGGTCTTCTTGGACCTGAGCGACCTTGCCTTCTGCGCGGGCTCGGACTCGGAGTTGGGCTGAACCTTGGCAGGCCGCTCGTGCTTGGGCTTGGGGTCCTGCTTGCGGTCCTTCTTGGGGTCCTTGTTGGGGTCCTTGTTGGGCTCCTTCTTGGGGTCCTTGTTGGGCTCCTTGTTGGGCTCCTGCTTGGGGTCCTTCTTGGGCTTCCCTCTGGGATTTCCTGGAACACATGACCGACACGTATTTATGAAAACTAACTTACCCTTTCATGTTGCACTCAATTCATGCAAACATTTCCACACACAAGCGTTCCAATGATTGATTATTTAAATTTAGAACTGAGCGCACATGAGCCATTCCGTACACATAGCACTGGTTCGTAATGCAGAAGAAATAATACAGAAGGGGCTAAATCACATTTTACTGTAGATCTAACATTGCTTTAGAATTTCAATTTCAGACTATCTATTACTCATAAGAAAAACCAAACCTACCTTATCATTATGAATCAGCTCAGCTGGAGAGCCTGATAATAAGAAGTAAAAGAATTAAATCCAAGCAATGCCCATGAAATTGAAATTCTCAAAGTTGTAACAAGTCCTAAAATAAAGTGCATACAGCCACCATGCCACTTCTGAAGATGGAAAATTGTGTCACTGAATAACATGCAGTTAAAAAGAAATTAATACAATAGGTAACAACATACCATTAGAAGTGGAGGCACCACCTGAGGCAGCTGCCAACTGTGCCTGTAACTCCGCCTTTTTCGGTTTGATCATCTTAGCTCCAACTGGGCGGCCCCTATTGCTTCCTGGAAAAAATGTAAAAAAGGAACAATCCATTTATTACAATACAAACTTACACCAGAGCGCTGACTTAAGAAGAATATGAATAAGACGCACAAAATACAGTTCACTAAATTATTCTATTTAAGCAGGGTTTTGATGGATTTAAATTATACTAAGCCTTCTTTAATTATTACAAATTTAAGACTGAAAAGAACCGCACACAATACTAGCAAATTTTCGACTTTAAGGAACTATTTCAGGCTTATGCTTCACCTTCACTTCGGTGCTCTGGTGTGTCCATTGCAATAATAGATCATCTGTCCCAGCATTTCAATAATATACTGATTGATGCATCATGAATATCAAATGTTAAAATATTATCATAAATTGAGTAAAATAAATTTTGTTTCCAAAATTACGATTTTGATAGCCAAGAAAGAGATATAGTGCTCAACACACTCTGTTCACTACTTGCCTGAGTGCATTCAAATTAAACGAATTCAACGTATTGTTGGATTTGAGGTAGCTTTTTACTCACCATCTTTGGCAGGCTTCTTTGCCCTGACCGCTGCTGCAGCTTTTCCTTTCGTTTTAGATGGCTGTGGCAACAAAAAAGTTGTTGTCATTACATTCGTGAAGAAAAAAGCAGAACTAAGGTTTCTAGGATATGTAAACGACTGTTTAAAACCGAAGAAAAAGTAGCCAAAAGTGAGCAGATAATGGGCAGTTGAATTCAGGTTTCATTAACAACAGAGCTATTTTAGAGAGTAATTTCGTTGCAACAGCTATAAAAATGGTCCAATACATTCCTTCATTCTCCAGTTTGCCTGTCCCCTACTGAGGAAAAATGGATGAAGGAAAACATAATAAAAATGGCAGTTTGGAAATTTAAGGACCCTTCCCTTCACAAAGAACCATTCAAATAAACTATAAGAGGGGCAAAATAAATACAACATAAATTACCTTCTTGTCTTCGTCGGCCGACTCGTCAGCCACAAAGAGAACCGACGATGCAACCGAATCATCGTCTGAATCATCATCTTCGTCGTCATCATCGTCATCGTCGTCATCATCATACTCGTCGTCCTCCTCTGGATCCTTGGGACCTGTTCGACCGGAGTATAAATGAACGAAGAACAATTAGCAGAGAAATGGGCAAAGGCGACATTGCACGGAATTGCACGAAAGCTGGCCGTACTTTTTGACGTCAGTTTCTTGGCTGGTTGCGGGTGTAAACCCAGTGTCCTGACAGGAGCTGCCCCAGCAGCCCGTTGGACATGGGCTGGGGCTGGGCTGGGACCTTGTGGTGCCTGAGGCACCTGTGCAGTAGCGACAAGAGTGCCAGAGGCAGCACTGCAGCTGCGGCTGCGGCGGACGTGGCGTCCTGAGCGTGGACTTTGACTACGGCGACGGTCTGAGCAAGAGGCAGCACTGCGGCTGCGGTGGCGTCCTGAGCGTGGAGTTGGACTACGCCGACGGTCTGAGCAAGAGGCAGCACTGCGGCCGTGGTGACCTGAGCGTGGACTTTGACTACGGCGGCGGTCTGAGCAAGAGGCAGCACTGCGGCTGCGGTGGCGTCCTGAGCGTGGAGTTGGACTACGCCGACGGTCTGTGCAAGAGGCAGCACTGCGGCCGTGGCGACCTGAGCGTGGACTTTGACTACGGCGGCGGTCTGAGCAAGAGGCAGCACTGCGGCTGCGGTGGCGTCCTGAGCGTGGAGTTGGACTACGCCGACGGTCTGTGCAAGAGGCAGCACTGCGGCTGTGCCCGCGGTGGCCGTGACGTCCTGGACGCGCACTCGGGCTCCGCCGGCGACGCTCCCTGGCCCAGGAACCGCTGCGGCTGCGGTTGCCGTGGCGTCCCGGACGCGCACTTGAAGACCGGCGACGTTCTGTGCCAGAAGCAGCACTGCGGCTGCGGCTGCGGCCGTGGTGGCCGTGGCGTCCTGAGCGTGGACTTGGACTACGGCGACGCCGACGGTCTGCACCAGAACCAGAGGCGCACTGCGGCTGCGGCTGCGGTGGCCATGACGTCCTGGACGCGCACTCGGGCTCCGGCGGCGACGCTCCCTGGCCCAGGAACCGCTGCGGCTGCGGTGGCCGTGGCGTCCCGGACGCGCACTTGAAGACCGGCGACGTTCTGTGCCAGAAGCAGCACTGCGGCTGCGGCTGCGGCCGTGGTGGCCGTGGCGTCCTGAGCGTGGACTTGGACTACGGCGACGCCGACGGTCTGCACCAGAACCAGAGGCAGCACTGCGGCTGCGGCTGCGGTGGCCATGACGTCCTGGACGCGCACTCGGGCTCCGGCGGCGACGCTCCCTGGCCCAGGAACCGCTGCGGCTGCGGTGGCCGTGGCGTCCTGAGCGTGGACTTGGGCCACGGCGATGGGCTGTGCCAGAGCCAGCACTGCGGCTGCGGCTGCGGTGGTGGTGGCTGTAGGCAGGGCGTACTCCCTGGTTGCCGCCTTGATGGCCGAGGTGAGGGCGGCCATGGTGGTTCAGTGTATACCCCTAAAACAGAAAACGTTTGCGTGCCACTACCCCTTGCTTTCAGACTGATGTCCCGACCCTCTGGCCAGCCTATCGACGCACACCGAGCTGGCCCACGGCCAACATGCCGCGCGATTCGGTTCTGTCTCTATCGCACCTTTGCGGAGATTCTGATGAGTGTGTTTGAGGCAGAGCGACGAAACGACTCTTTTGAACGGCTCGGCCGGACACCGAGCGGTCGCGACCATCGTCGCACTGGTGCTGAGGAAGGCAAGGGTGGGAAAGGGAAGAGGCCACTGTGGGGGCACGTAGACAGGGCCACGCGGCCGCACAGTGGGCCAGAAGACCGGTGGAGGCGGCCAAAATCACGGACGCGTTTTGAGCTCCAGAGTCGCTAAATGGGACTCGAACCGAACGTGTGACCCCATCGATGGATTGCACTTCAAACGAGGAATCCATTGGTGGGGTCGCACGTTCGGTTCGCGTCCTGTTCAGCGACTCGGGGGCTCAAAACGCGTCTAGAGTTTTGGCCGCCTCCACCGGTCTTCTGGCCCACTGTGGGCCGGCCGCGACACAGTGTGTTGGCATGGAGAAGGGGGACTGAGGGGAGGGGTGGGGCGGAGAAAAAGGCGAAGCCAAGTGCCGACGTTCGTGGTGGTGTCCACCAAAACGCCTTGTCACCTAGATTGGCACTTCTTTGCTACGACGGGATGCCGAGCCTGTGCTGGCGGTGTGCTGGTGACCGCCTAGCTTCAACCATGTTCAACGCGGCCGTCAAAATATTAGCGGTGAGAGGCGAAGCGTAAAGCCGTGCGCAACGGTGCCGCACCGTGGGCCAGAAGACCGGTGGAGGCGGCCAAAACTCTACACGCGTTTTGAGCTCCAAAGGCGCCAAATAGGACTCGAACCGAACGTGTGACCCCACCAATGGATTCCTCGTTCGGAGAGCAATCCATTGGTGGGGTCACAAGTTCGGTTAGAGCCCTATTGAGCGACTCTGCAGCTTAAAACGCGTCTAGGATTTTGGCCGCCTCCACCGGTTTTCTGGCCCACTGTGTGCCGGCCAGCCACTGCGTCGCGCACATCGGCAGCCCGCGCGTGTCCGTGCTCCAGCCAAGCCTGAGCACAACGATGGACAAGTACCGTAGCTGCTTTTTGATTTTCACGCAAATCGGCTGGCGGGCTAACAAACTAAAGAGGTAACTATTGTTATTGTGAATGTTTCACTTTTGAGTACATATTATAAATGGCTCACCAGGTTGGGCGCCGCCACAGGAAAATGCATGGGCACGGCAGCATTGGGCCTCAATAAGGGCTGTCCCTGCAGAAACCCTACCAGTCTTGGGTCCTGAAAGTGACATCAACAAGACAATGAAAATCATACCCCAACACAGGAAAGACACATAGATGCCAAATGATCAGGAACTTTCTAACTACATTCTTGTTTTGCAGTCGTGCCCTGCAGTATCCCACAGAGAGTATAAGAAAACTGCAGAATATAAAGGAAGTTGACACCAAATTTTCCAATCAAAGTACAAATTGTGGCAAAAATCTTCTTAAAAAAAAGTGTTGACTATCCGGAACACAGTTTTTAATTACAAAGTTTATGGTACTTTTGCACCATTACCTAACAACAGTTACCTAACAATATTGTCTGAAGTACGTAACTGCAGTTTCACAAATTTCAACAAAAATTCCAATGAGAATCTGATGCTTGTACAGCAACAAATAAATCTAGGCCAGGTCCAACTTATGAAACTTAGTCATTCCAACAAAGTCTTTTGCGAAAGCATGACAATTGCAGAGATTAAATAGTTGCGCTTACAGTACCAAACTCAGCTTTACTAACGCGATTCTGCCTCTCTGTTTTTTTTTAGAAGTAAGAAGGCTTGTTCTGAGGTGCACCCACAAAGCTACACCTTCCATAAAGTATACCATTTTCCCATCGAAGATTTTTGTCAAAATTTTAACCTTTACTGGAAAGTTTGATGTCAACCCCGGATAATTTTGAACTTAAGTAACAGAAGTTAGAAGAAAGCAGTGTCAAATGATACGTTAGATTTGGCACAATTACTCTCTTGTTAAACTGCACTGTTGAAATAGAAAGAAGAACACAGTGATTTGAGGTATGGAGAAAAATGCACTTCAAGAAATAACTCTCCCCATAGTTTTTGTACAGTCAGTCCACTTAAAAGTGTTTCTGCAGACAACAAAAATCTACCATAAGAACATTTAATCAAGAGACATTTTCGCATGACCAAGAGCAAGGGCCAAAACAAAATTATTCATAAAACTTCTTTGCATAATAGTACAGTTATAAAAACGTTACAAACAATAGGGTTTTAAAGGACCAACGAGCAGAGGCCCGCTAAGGGTGGTTCCAGCGCTCCTTATTGTGTGAAAGCGACAAGTAGGTTGCCGTTCCGTCGCTGAGCTTCACGAGGCGACTTACGGCTTCAAATCCCGGCAGAAGCAAAAATTTTAGTCGGTGTACATGACTGTTTGTAACCGTGTAGAAGCAAGCACTCGTTCCATACAGACGGCCGAACATTCTGGCGGTTGCCACCGTAAAAAAAAACATTCAAAAACATAATGGCGGGGCCGGGACTTGAAGGTTCTAGTAGATTCAATGCCTATGAAGCTATCAGTTCCGAACAGAACCACCCCCTGCAGAACACTGCCAACGATTATGCCATAGTGATTGCGCAAACTCTACAAGCAAAACTCATCTTGTAGGCAACCCAACTCGAAGGTTTGAAAGGTTAGAAATGAAATATCATTCCAAGTGCAAGGCAACTGAACTTAACAGAAATTTACTCACCATTCTCTTTCTGGTCTGCACGACCACACTTAATCAAAGAGCCAACCTCTACCCAGCCCAAACACACAGATGGTCACGTTTCTCTGAAGCTTCGCTTTCGCTCGCTTTTCTTCAACCAAGGAAGAATGAGAAGAGGAAACGGAGAAAACGTTCCAGTGCTAGTCCGACAACACCGTGAATCGAAAGAGACGGTACGTAGGACT